CTAGGGGCGGGGTAGGGGGCCCTCCCCGCCCCAGCCCTGTTACTCGTTTAAGACGAGGCGAGGTAGGGCATGGCGGTGTCTTTGCCCCGTTTACTACCCGTTAAAATTTTTTTTTTGTTTTTGATAATTTATTTTTATTGTCCATATTCATTAGATTTAGACAAATAATTTTAGTTGATATTTTCTATTAGAACTAATGAAATTTTGTGAAAATGTTCATTTAAAGTATTGAATTATTAAAAAAAAAATTAACGTGGCGGGGCGGGCCATGTGGATATCGGGTTTTTTTGTCATTCATATTCAAAAATCAGTGAAATGTGAAATCGCAATTCAGTATTGATTTCAAATTTTCAACGCCAAATTGCCAATTAAGTCATTATTCATACGTGATACAACACAAATGAGAAATCATGATTTCAGCCTCATAAATAGAAAATAACACACACACAAAAAAAACACGAAATCAAAGCAGAAAATCGAGAAGGCGGCGGGACGGGCGATCAGTCGGTCACTTTCGGCACCTGTACGGCGGTTGGCTAGACTGGTGAACAGTAGTGGTGGAGGATTCACCAACAGCAGGCGTCGCCATGGAGGAGTTTTGATTTGGAAATTGGAAGTGGGGATGGATTTGTGAAAATTGAAAATTGGAATGGATTTAGAGTTTTGGACAGGTTGGACTTATATATAATTAAAGATTGAGCCGCCCAACAAAAGGCCCAAATACAATACAAAACAAAACAAAAGAGAGAGAGAAACGGGCCACCCAACAAAGGGCCCAATTTCTAAACAAAACAAAACAAAACAAAACAAAAAAAAGAGAGAAAAAATTACATAATTCCAGGGGTTTGAAGATTTGAATTCAAAAACCAGGGACCAAATTTCATTATTTAAAAATCACGTAATATTAAAAACCCCTAACCCTAATTTTTACCTCTCTATTCCCTCCGCTCTCTGTCTCTCGCCTCCTCTCCTCCCTCCCTCCCCCCTCCCTTCTCCCAATCGGTGGCGCGAGGGCATCCCATCGGTCTTCGTTCATCGCAGAAGCACTCTTAGTTGTTCATCACAGTTCTCACATCTCAGAATGTCGCTGCGGCTTGGGGATTTGGTAAGATGACCCAAGACCATCATTGATTTGTGTTTTGCAATT